GACATTATTTTCAATTGAAAAGAAAAATTATAAAGCATAATACTATAATCCTATGCTTAAAATATATTTTCTTGTGGCCGCCTGACGGCAACCTGTAAATCTGTCGCGACAGTGAACGTGTTAATAAGTAAATGTTTTTCAAATTATATCGTGTTTGATATCATTTTCATCAGAAAAATCTCAGCAACTCTATTTTGATTTGTCGAGCCGTGTAATCTCGTAAAGTGACTGCGAGCGAGATAACATGGGCGCAGCAATGACGCAGACCTAGGCGTAGGACCATCTATACTGTCACTTGTAGAATCCAAACTTACTGACTCTTGTAGAGAATTTACTGTATTGTGAAAAAATCCGTCCCGAAGACGGTGAAGCGAGCATCTTGAAGCCAGGCCCAGCACGCTCGGTAGGGGTGATTCCGCCCCTTTGGGCCTTTCCCTGGGCCTGCTCGCGTAGGGGTGGACAAGGATCAGCAGGACGACGCGTCCTCACTCTTACCGAGACTTTTCAACGGACACCGATTAACCTAGACATAGATTCTGAGTGGAATATATTATTGCGGAAAACGTAGATACTTTTTAGTGAACTTTACGCCCACCCTACGCGGAGTCGGAGTAATTTTCTGACAATATTAAATACTTAAAAGTTTTATCAGACTGAATCATTCTTTTCAGGATCTCGATACTTTTCCAATGACACTTTTTCAGCAATTGCCCCAACACTTCGAAATCTTGATTTTCAAGACTTCGTAAAACAATTTTAATCCGAATTTGAACATTCCATTAATTCGCCGTACGATACGTTTATCTCCCCGAATACTTTCGAGACGAATCGGTATAATCTCGAGCGGACAAAATGATTATCGTTGTAGCGCAGGTTTGGCGCGCTTTCTTTAATTTTTCCAAACATATTTACGCGTGACCCGAGGTTATACCGCGGGGCGGCAATAACGAAGTCGATTCTCTTTATAATTCTGGTTTCATAACACGTACAGGTGAAGTTAACGTGCCGTGCAAGAGGCGTGCCACCGCCCCGTATAGCGTGGCGCAGAGAAGACGGGAAGAACATTATAATTCGGAAGCCATTTGCAGGAAGCGCCTTGAACCAGAAGTCTCATGGTAAGATTTAATATAGATGACGTTTCTACCATTTCACCGATATAACGCGGAATATACAATTATGTTTTCCTCGAACCCCCGGTAGCTCGGGATTCACTTGCTATTTTAATTTCCTTATTTCAACCGCCGCGACCTACCGCCACGCAGACTTCCTCGAAACTGCCTGCGGGAAACGTAACTTTCTCGAAATTGTTAAGTAACACTTTATACGACATCGTACGAATCGATAGGCGGCTCTAGTTCTTACGGTTCGGGTTAGCGATTCTCCCGAGGAACGTTATTTCCAATCTATCGCGTACTTGAACCTGGCCGTTTTTTCGAAAATACGGTAGGAAACATGGGAAATTGTAGGAAATACTGCAGGATCTTGGGAAAAATTGCTACTACCCTCGAATAACGCGATGGAAAAAGAAAAAGGGGAATATTCAAATTCTGAATTTGTAATTTTGGAAATTTGGGTTAGTTAAATTTGACCGAAAAAGGGATATCGGTGGAATTTAATTTGTAGATATTATATTTCGTGGGTTATAGGAGGTACTGGTGTAAGTGGAATTGTAGAAAGGTCAACACTTTATCGATGGAAAAGTCGATGCTGAGTTGAATTGAACATTGTCATCTGTCATGGATGATGCAGTGATGCGTCAAATGAATATCAAGCGTTGTTATGTTGTTGAATTTAATTAACACGTTCGATACCGCGGTTCTGCTGAAGCATCGTCACTTATCCTTCGAATTATTTTCATTTACGCTTTTAATATCTGTATTCTTATCAGTTTCATATGATACGACGGATACCTGCATTTGTATATGTCTAATATTCATTAAATACTCAATCTGTGCATTTTTCTGATGTATTAGTATTTCTATTATACGTTTTTCACAAATGTAAATATACTTTTTTTTCTTGTATTCCGATAATTACAAGTTCAGTAATTTAGCAATTTTTCTATCAAAGGAAGGATTCTACAGCACATTTCTGTATTAACCCTTTGCACTCCAACGGCGCTTTTATGGCGACACGCGTAATTACTTTGGAGAAATGTACAATTCAGACTTTTTTTTATATTACTTTATATTATCAAAATAACGCAAATTAATGCAAGAAATACAAATGAATAAATTCGTAAGCACTAAAAATCTTTTTTTTTTTTTTTCAAGACAAAACTTCGGCTTTCCAGAAGTTTCACTGTTAATCTTATCAAAAAATGCTTGGAGTGCAAAGGGTTAAGCGAAAGTAATCAACGCAATGGTCCAGTCGATAAGGCATCAGTTGTGTGTTTCACTGTCGAGTGCTGAATAAATCAATCATATTTTACCCAAAACGTGTCTAAAAACTCTCTCTTACATTACGAAAAAATATAATCTTCATATTTACTTTACTTCTACACGTAAAATCACTCTTTACCCAGCTAAACCACGCATCTTATTATCAGCACGCCCTGTATATCGTTTAATAATCGTACTTGTGAAATATTCAACACTCTAAAGTGACCTTCCGTCATTCAGCGAGACCACCCTTACCGTATCTTACTTAAAGCTTGGTTATAAAAAAAAATCGCAAAAATTGTACAGCCACTGTACACATTTCGCACAGCCCGCAAAAATAAACCAAGATAATCACATCTTCCAGGTGCCTCTGCCTTCGAAATCAAACGGTCTCCAGCGCAACCCCGTCCGTAGAAAAAAAAGGAAAATAGAGAAAGATATTCCCGCGAGGCAGACCGTTCTTTAACAATATCACCGGCCCATTCATACAACTCTATTACACTCTTGAAATGCCGCGTAATAATCCCGTTGGAGAGTCGTGGCGTACGTATAAAACGAAATCGTTGGATAGAAACGTCGACGCGCCAGGGGAAACGATCGGTAGATAGGGTTGATAAAATCGCGAAATACCTGGATGGACAGTGAAACCGGTAACGCTGGTCAGTAGTATAGTTCGCCCCCCCCTTGCAGCCTCTACGTCCACGTTTCGACCTAAACGACGTATTTAGTATTCGCTTCAGCTTGGTGTTGCTAATAGCAGGCGAATTTCGGCGCACTGTCGGCGATGTATGCGAGTGCAACCCTTGCAACACGTGTTAAGTACAACAGGGAGCAAAGGGGATAGCTTATTGTTGACCCACAATAGCGATAATTATTGGATATCCCGGGGAAAAGTTGCGAACTTGCGAGGTTTGCGGATTAATCAGTGTAAGACGCGGCTTTGCGTGTGTATGTTAACGCTAATGTTCGGTTGGCTTTTATGGTAACGTTTTGTGGTTATTGTCAGCATTAAATTTGGGGAATCGTGTCGTTAAGTTTCAATAAGTTTGAAATTTTTATATTTCAAGTCTTCGTGTTACGATTCGTTGTTAGGTCACAGTGATAAAATAATAGGAAAAATTGTTATCTATAACGTCGAATATGTACTTAGGTTTGTCATAGATTTATATCTTCGGGGACGACTTTTTTTAAAGTTAGAAAAAATATATTATACGTTTGGAAGTGACGTGATGCAAATGATTACTCGCAAAGTGGGTGACAAAAATATATTTATACAACCAATAATACTTAAACTAATTTTAGATGTAAGGCGATACGATGCGCGTAGAAAGGAAGTCTGCGACCAAAGGCCTCGTGCCTTTTTCGGGGCTCCCTTAAGTAGCCCCTTTTCCCTGGGAAAGTCCCAGGAAGTCGGGGCGCGGGCCTACATTGCCGAGGCAATACTCACTCTTGTCCTCGAGGACGAAGAAACTCGGAGATGTTTGGAAAAACATCTCTCGATTCTTCGCCTCGAGGGCCAAGAGTCGCCGGGCCTAAGTGCGTGGCGTTACATACGTAATATTCATATTTTTCTTATATTTTCTCTGTCACAAATATCGGAGTTTTCGGAAAAATTAAATGTAGACGTGTGTGTCAGTGTCCCCGAAGAGATTAAGTTTAGATTATATGGTGCAGCGTCGATTTGGGAAACTGAGCTGGCAACTTGAGCGAGAAAAATGTTTATACGGAGCACTCGGTGCATTACGCGAGCGTTAATTTGAATATAGACTTGGGCAACTTTTTATTTGAAATTTAAATAAGGAATAAGTATTTGAAAAATTAAATAAAATATTAACTATTTGAAAAGTTAAATATAGATTATCAATTTATTTGGAATAATGAATAATTTGGTTAGGTGAAATAACAGTCAAGGTAATACAAGCGCACGTTCATTTTTGGGTTGAAATTTATTCAAGTAACGGCAGGTTTCTGACAAATCGAGGTTCCAGTACTTTTGTAATTACTGGTGTTGCTTTCGAATCCACGACGTAACGTAACCCAGCCGGGAATTTAAGCGGAACTCGATGATTTATGATTTACAAGCTCATTAATTAGCAATTTTCGTTGGAGCAACTAGTAAACAGTTCGACGGATTTATGAAAGTTCGTTTTCAAGCTACAGTTTTCTGCGTCCCGTTCATTTACCAGAGGTATTAACAATTGTTGATAAAGAAAGGAACACCGAACGCGCGAAACTGTGTAATTTCTAAAAAAACATTCTCCATTCAATGTCGACGTTATAAAAATTTTAAAACTATTTGACACGTGTTCTTTTTTATTAGCATCCACATTGAAGTGATGAAAATCTCCTTCAAAAATAAGGTTAATAAACATAGTTGTTCAGAATTATTTATTATTCTTTATTTTTCAAATTTTTTTGGCAATATTCTTCTAACTCTAATAATTTCCGAGATATCACACTAAATAGGTGTATCTTCTATCTCCAACTTTGAGGGCGATTTTCACCCCTTCACTGTGCACAATTACCGATATAAAAAAATACGTGTCGAATATGTTTTTGAAAACTATTACATCCCAAAGTTTCATCAAAATCGGTGATTATCACTTCAGGATCTCCCCTTGTAAGTTTTTCTTTTACAAGAAGACTCTCAATCTCGCGAGAAAATTACATCGCCGCAGAAAATGAACGAATTGTGCTTTTAACAGTAAAGTACACCTAACACTGTTACCCTAATTAATTCTTCTTATGGACAACAAGTTGAACGGAAGAAATGGCAGCGTTAAGTACCTTCGTAAGTTTCTGCTCGTTGAAGACAAAATTTTTGATAACATTGTCTAGCAGAATTGTCTGCACAAAGCGCGGTGTAATTGTTGATGAAAACGAGAAACACGGCGGTTTGTGTTAGCGGAAGGCAAACGTGTAATTAAGTCAGAATTACGAGTTCTCGCAAGACGCTCTTATATTTGAAAATTTTCGAGGAAATCGATGTTTGCGCAAGTTTCAAGGCGAGACGCACCCAGGAATAGCACGTGAGGATAGTTTGTGCGTTTCTGTGCAATATTCTGCACAGGGAGAACGAACAGGTGTAACAAATTGTAATAAACTGCTTACTTTATTTTCGCCAGTTTTTCTTTTCGGTCTTCCATTGGAATATCTTTAAAAATAACGATATCGAGTTGTGCTGGAAGAATACTTAAGTGTAGATTTTTCAACAAGAAATTTAAAAGGAAACAAAATTTTAGGAACGGTAAATTCTTCTTTTAAAAAATTTCATCTCATTTTAGAGTACAGAAATATTTTCATAAATTAATTAAAATTATTAACTATAAATGCTACTTGAAGTTTTCAATGTTGTGCTTTGAGAATTAAAATAACATTGTAAACTTTCGTTTTAAGTTTGATTGACGTTGATAAGCTATACTTAGCGGCGATTTTCTTTTAGAACAGGTCATCCGACGTGGCAGCAGATGTCAATTGAAATAAGTTAATTGATATTGAAATGTCTCTTTGAATCGTTATTCAATAGTCCGTTAATTATCCAGCGAAAGATGTTATGAAAGACAGATAATCGAATGACAAAAATACTTTGAAGCTGATTCATTTACGAGAAGCAATAAAAATATTTATAATCCACCTCAATTGCATTTCTGTTAATTATTCCAGAAGTATTTATTACACGCTTGACACTTTCTCAGAGTTTCTCAAAGTACGATATTTTTTAAAATCAATATTTCGAATTGACGTGTAGTTTGACAATTTTTTCAGAAAACAATAGAAGGCAAATTCGTCACTTTTTCATTGCCCCAGCAATTTTTTAAATAATCCACCGAACGTTTTTTGAACTCTCTCAATTAAACGTAAAAAAAAAAAGAATCGAGATTATGCGAATAAATATACTTTCCAATGAAATTGTATCAGCTTATTATCAAGCTGAAAACGCTTGTGCATTTTTCTATACACACGCAGAAGTTAATTTAATTTAAAAGTTTTCAAACAGGAAGGAAGAATTTTATTTTTAGATTTCTCTTTATTTTCCTGCCTATTGCAGAGACAGTAAAAAATTCAAGTGAAAGTTCGCCTGGTCCACGACAGCACGACTGTTTTGCTCGGCAAAGCTTAAAAAGTATTAAGCTGCGTACTACATTTCATTACACAAAATTTCTTTTTTGGTCGCGTGGAACGGAAACGGTAATCCGCATTTACATAAAAACTCAAGCGAATGCTTAAGTATGCGAATGAATTCGATTAAAAAAGTGTAAACAATGAAATAAAACAGCTACAATACGAAGTATGTATTACGCGAAGTATATATATATATTTTTTTTACGATATACGCGAATAAACTGCGTAGAATTTAATTATCTCGAGCATTCTGGTGCACAGATTGCTCTTAACTTTGTTACCTGTTTTCCTCAAGTTCGTGCAACTTACGCAAATCTATACGTCCAGATAAATTTTCTCGAAAGTGAAGACATTGTTTGCACAAGTCGGAAGAATTTTTAGTTTATCTTTGCAGGATAGAGAAGGATTTAAAAAATGATTTGTCCGAGATAATTGGTTTCAACTGAACCATATTCTGCAACCATTCTATCACAATAAATTAATAATTATTTGCACTATTATTTGGGAAGGAAAATGAACAATTTGAAAACATATTCTATTATCATTTGAACTCAGTGAACCAATATTTATTTAGTATATCGTTTAGAAAGGAAAACTGACAAACTGAAAGAGAAATATTTCACTTGTACAAAGTAAAGAGGAATAAAAATAGGTGATTTCTCAGTGATAATTGCATTCAATTCATAGAAATACAATTGAACCATATTCTGTACTCGCTGCATCACAGCGAACCAATAATTATTTAGTATATTGTTAAGAAATACTTGTTCCACCACAGTGAACCGATAATTATTTAGTGCATTGTTAGAAAAAAAGGACTGTTAACGAAGTTATACCGATTTCCATAGAAACCACGTGGAACTATCTCCCCAATTTCGGATCAATTAATTTAATATACCTGATAAGACCTTCAACAATGATTACCCTCTACATAGTTGCTCCACAGTCCAGAATCTAGATAATAGACCAGCAACTACAGACGATAGCTTCGGAAAGGCTAACAAAACTTCCAACTAAATAGAGTTACCCTCGATACCGTAACACACGTCGGAACTTTTTCCATCCCTGCTAATTTATCCATTGTTAAATTCCCCGATATCGTATCAACGAAATCTTTCACCGTGCAATTATCTCCTCCCCTCAGTGTCTCCGGTGAGCGAGTACCAAGGCGAAGAGTTGAATCTGACGAAGATCTCGAGGAACGAGATGGGAGTTTATCTTTGTATCGCTACCAACGGCGTACCACCAGCGGTCAGCAAGCGTATTTTTATCAACGTTCATTGTGAGTAATAGTGATTACATTTGCCGATAATTTACCGATTTCCTTCGACCTGGCGAACGAAGAGAAACACCGCCGGTGTGTTGTTCACCTACAAACCCTATCTAGGATTCTGTTTCACAGTCTCACCGGTAATTCATGTACCTAATCAACTGGTAGGAGCTCCTCTGGGTACCGATGTGCTTCTGGAATGTTTTGTCGAGGCATCGCCCAAGTCGATTAATTATTGGGTCAAGGATAACGGTAAGATCTCTCTCTCTCGTGGCCGTTCAACCACTTGTTAGTATCCGCTTCGATACGATATCTCGAATTTACGAACACTGACGCGCTCACACGTTTCTTCTGTAATACAAAGCGTAGATCTTGTGATTTGTTTTTTGAAAAAGTGCATTTACCGCTGAAATTTTAATTGTATTCGTTAAAATTGAGAAGACTGAGAGTAAGTATAGGGAAAAAAGTGAATTAGACGAAAATGATAAACTGCACGTTTAATGAAATTTTTGTTAAATTCCAGAATATTGAAAATTTCAGAATTGAAATTTTGTCGACTTGAATGAAATGAATTAAATTACCTAAATTTATGAGTGGTGGTGTATCTTTGAAGCCCATTTTTCAGGTCAACGATGTTTAATTTCTTTCTTTCGCAAGCTGTTTTATTATTGCGAAATTTCTCTGCAATAAAATCTTCCTAATTTTTTTCAGATTCACTATGTGTTTGCTCGCATAAATTTTACTGTCAGATTATCGCAAATGACAAAAGGACCGTACGGTTTTTTGTATCATAAATTCAGACTTATAATGGAGATTATAGGGTAAATTATGTGTTTTTTTTAAAATTAATAAATTAACACTTCGCGTAGTTATGCAATTTATCAAATTTATCTGCTTTTATTTTCCAAAAAATGTGGGCCACGGGTGATATTTTAAATCACCATTCTGAATGAAAATTACTGTAGAACGATAACGTTCTACAATACTATCACAATCTTCAAATTTATCACAAAATTACAAGCTCACAATGTTATTACCTAGCAACTAATCATTGTAAAGCAAAACACAATTACTCTTCAACGAAGCCTTCCAGCCTACGATTACACAGATTGATAGACAGAAAAGTAATTGCGTTAAACAGCGTTTCTCGCTTCTACGCTAATTAATTTAAAAATTATCTCGAAGTTACGCTCGAAAGTGCACGATCAAAGGTCACTTCGACGAGGTTAACACATTTAATTACAAATCGTATCGTGCTCGTCTTTTCAGTCAACCTCGAAGTATATACCAGGTGATTTTTAAGCAACAACCAATCAGAAAAAAATAGTACTTGTTGCTGGAACGTTAATTAAGAAAATGAACTCGGTAACGATTAGATGAAATTTCACGGCGATAATTTACCCGTCGTTTTCTTGAACGTGGCCGCGCTTTGGAAGAAACAGAAACGCGTCGTCCTCGTTCTCCTTAACAGGTTTAATATTTCCGTGCAGAAGTTGGCAAAAAGTTGCAGACAAATGCGAGAGAGTGAATTACTCTCTCGGCCGTTCGCAAATATATTCTCCGGTGCAGTTTGTAGCCGGTACGAGTAGACATGCTTTCGCTTCAGCGCAACTTCTACGGAGCACTTCGTCCCAATGCATTCGTATGTAATTTTCACCTCGCACGGAAAATCCTGTGCCCCCTTTTTCTCTGCTCTGGCTGCGTGTGTATATGTATATATATATATATATATGGAAAAAGAGAGAGAGAGAGAGAAGGGGGAACATTTCAGACTGTAATAAGGAGACTCGGCGCGCGTTTAAGAAGTGAATTTTCGCATACTTTTATACGTCGTTCCGTATTCGTCGGCTCGTTTGCAATATTCTCCGACGACGTCGTATATATGCACGGAATGTATTTCATATTTATTCTCCGCGGGGCATTGAAAACAGGACGTTAGTGTCGGCTTTCCTCGCAACGAAAATTATTCGCGAATTTCTTAACCCCTTCGCGTCTGTGGACGAGGTATCTCGTGGGCCAATGTCGCTCATGCAAAGGTTTCGACGAGATTGTTACGCGAAGCTTTGGATGAGAGATTTTTCGATGCTTTGGATGGGATATTTCGTGATGTAGTGTCGTTCGTGTGACGCTTTGGACGAGATATCTCGCGGCGATTTGGACGAGTTATTTCACGACACTTTGGGTGAGATATTTCGCGGCGCTTTGGACGAAATATCTCGGGACGCTTTGGACGAGAGATTTCGCGACGCTTTGGACGAGATTTCTCGCGACACTTTGAATGAGAGATCTCATAACGCTTTGGACGAGATATCTCGCGACACTTTGGATGAGATATTTCGCGACGCGTTGGACGAAAAATCTCGCGACGCGTTGGACGAAAAATCTCGCGACGCATTATCGTCCATGGGACGCTTCGGAAGAGATTTCCCGCGACGCTTTGGACGAGATATCTCGGGGCGCTTTGTACAAGATTTCTCGCGACGCTTTGGACGAAAAATCTCGCGACGCGTTATCGTTCATATGACGCTTCGGACGAGATTTCTCGCGGCGCTTTGGATGAGAGATCTCGCGACGCTTCGGACGAGATATCTCGCGACACTTTGGATGAGACATCTCGTGACGCAATGTCTTTCACGCAACGCTCTGGACAAAATATCTCGCACCCTAATGAAAAACACGCGAGATATCTCGTCCCAAGTGTCACTCGAACGACATTTCCTCACGAGATATCTCGTCCGCGAATTCGAAAGGGTTGAGAAACGCAAACTAGCAAATATATTAAATAGATAAGCAGGTTTCAGTGTTCGATCTTCAATACACACGAACACACTTCACATTCTAATTCTTCCCACAAATAAATACAAAATGGAATTTCATTTCTGCTTCATCTAGCCATGATAATATCAAGCCAACAACACGACGTACAGACGACTGTGAAATCGCAGTTCGAGGTCCGTATGGCGTTAACCATTCGCAATCTACAAAAACATGACGTTGGTACTTACAAGTGCGTGGCCAAAAATTCCCTTGGCGAGGTTGAAAGCAGCATCCGATTATACGGTGAGTGGAATGGAATTACTTTTCAAGTAATTTTACAAATGGATGTAGTTTAGTATGTGCAGAGTAACCTCTTTTTTTTTTCTTTTTTTTTTAATTTATCACCTTCCACAATTTAAAAGTAACTTTCAACGCATCTGTCTTTCTCGCTACTTTAAACGATAAATAATATCATTTCCCCTTTGAACGGTATCTAGCAAATGTTGCTCCGAATTTCTGTTCAGTTTTCTCGCTAAATCTAGTTAATGAAAAATATAATAACGTATGAAAATGGGTTCGTGTCTCTCCTTGAAATTAGAGCACTTACTGCGGTTCGATCGCTTATTGTGTGGTTTTGTATTCCCTTTGACGGTAATTCTACTTCCAATAGATTCATGAAATATATAGGTACGCGCGTATACGAGTACAGGAGAAGCTTATAATAGTACCAGAGCTATTTTCATAAGCGCAGAACTATGAGATCGAATGTGAAATTAATAAAGCAGAACTTCGGGTAAATTCTCATACGTGAAGATTTCTTTGAAACTACCCGAAATGTGCATCTGTAATTAACAGTTCGTCGACCATCTCAATCAGTACAGTATCCATAAACTTTACGCATCGATACAATAATTAAATTCATAATTGACGATATCTACAAAAACTTAGTATCGCTACATTCCTAAAATCGTCCACAGTTTTAAACCCACACATCACACGGAAGAAAAATTTCTCTTACAAATTCCATTTTTCCAAAACGAAGCTAGAAACGTGCAAAGGACAAAATTAGGGATTCAATCGCATTGAAAGTGCATCAAACATTACGGAAATTCTCAAAGCGCCTACAGGCGTGAATAGCAACGAAAGGGTTAACGTGTCGTTGAATCAACGAAGCACAGCTGACAAATTCGAAACGAACGCAATCGCGTGTCACGATCATTGACCCCCTGAAGACAAAAGGCGCGTTTGTCGGAGCGTGGAAAAAAATTCCGGGTTGGAAACGAGTCCGACGACTAATGGCAAGTGATTGTGGCTTGGCTGAGTGGCGAAAAAGGGTTAACGATTCGCGACATTCGAAAAGCTTCGCGATAACGAGGCCAACTGCCGCGTAGTATCAAGTGAGGGGCTCAGCCGTTTGATAGCTGTTGCGCTTAACGCCCGAAAATCTCTGCCCCGGTTCCCTATTATTTCACGGCTGATACGTGACTAAAGGCGGCAAGTTAATTCGACGTGGAAGGAAAAGTGGTTACTCCGATGATGTGTGCGCATGTGTGTGCATGTACGGAAAAGACTGATCGTTACATGGCAGAAATAAGAAGCTCGTCGTCGTTGCCTGGATTCGTCGTCGCGAAACACACTCGCGTTTACAAGCATCCTCACTTTGCCATCGAACCCCCCGAGGATTTTCACCCCCGCCCGCCTTCTTTTCGGTCAATCCTCATCTTTCGCGCATACGATCCCGAGGATCTTTCAATCGGGTCAGAGCACTCAGGGGAAACACAGAGGCTGTGCACTCCGGTTGAAGGGTTTCGCACAGCCGTGTATCCTTCGTAAATCGTCGCGAGAGCCTCTGATATCTCGGGAATCGATGTTGTTCCGTAACACCGGGATTTACTTATTTCCACGCGCAGCCTGTAGATCCTCTCGTTCGTCGCGAGTGTATCCGTGATGATTCATTTGCGCGTTAATGGCACGGGAAGGAACGGGAATTCGATTTACTACTGAATGTCTGTCTAAGGATCTTTGCAACGTTTTTAAGGATGCTCGTTTGGAACCATGTGGCGCATGAAGCTTTTTCTTGTTTGTGTTAAGACAGTGTAAGAGAAGAGGCGATTTTTTAAGTTCTAAGAGTCAGGTCTGTGCAAAAGTTTAGGTAAATCGATGGTACCAAAGGCGCTGTACGCTTTTTCTATTTAAATTGTCACAGTTAGAATGACAATGCTACAGGGAATGCGATGCAAGATTCGATAAAGAATTCGGTCGACCAAATCGGCGTTTTTCATTTCAGAAATTTTGCACGCCTGGACGAAGTTTTTTAAATTCATTTCTGAGCTGCTTCAGCTGCGCTAACAATTTGTATGTCTACTTTTCAACTCGTGAAATATAGTTGCTCTAATTTGCTGTGAATTCGTCTTTTCAAAAATTCATAATCACAATATAATCGCTTCTGAACTCTCTCGTTTCTTCCTGAAGATTAAAAAATAATTGTCTTTTATCATTTTTGCAAGCCAACGTTAATGATAAATAATCTGATATGGATGAACACAGTATTGCAATTTTTTAGTAAGTTTTTTAGAGTAGATATAATTAATTGATTCACAAAGCACCAACAAATTACTACGTTTAGAACACCTAACGTTCTGTGTTACGTCAAAGGCTGTAGAAAACAAGGGAGAGGAAGGAAAATTAGAATGTAGTCTTGTTGAAAATTAGTGGAACTTTAATTAGCCAAAGTTTTTGAGGAGTTTCGTCTAGTCAGGGTATTTTCTTTCCCTCGCTGCTCCTATCTAATTTACCTTTGCTCCGTAGTTAATCAGGTATAGGAATACTTTGTGTTTACTCTCAGTCACAGTTGAGCTTTACATCAGTTCAGCTTCTAATCATCAAAATCTCTGTAAATCAATAGCCTCCTATTAAGGTTGCTTTGAAGAGGCGAGTCGTTTTCAATTAACCATTCCTGTATAAATACACAAACTCTAATATCAAGTATCCTTATCTCATACTGTAAACAAGAATTTTAAATTTTTCAAAAATTCCACTAAAATTACAAATTCGAAATTTATGCAGAATCTTCAATGTTAAGTGTTTGTCAGATAGTTTATAAATGTAACACTTTACAGCAATGACTATGATTAGAACTGAGTCTAGGAATCTTGTGTTTCGATCTTAGTAGGATATTTACTACGTCACAGTTTCCTGTGTTACTGATTAGTGAATTATCATGTGAGTGATTGAATATATTTTTAGTAAGAGCTTTGATATGCAGGAACAGTTCAGAATGTTTGTTTCTGCGTGAAGCTTGTGAACAGGGCAGTCCTTGGTTCATTGAGGATTATTGGTAGTAATCTATTTTGGATCCTTTGTGCTTTGAGTGTGTTGGATTTGGTTGCTGAGCTCCATTTCTGAGCATGCTAGGTATTGGTGGGTTTTATGTTTGGTTTCTGATGAATCTGATGGATTCAGTGCTCTGATGAATGCTAGGTTTCTTGTGCGCTTACGAATGACCTGTTTCCAAGTGAGTCTGTCATCTAGTACGATTCCTAAATATCCTGATAAAATTCTTCCTTCTCTATATGTACCATTCATACTTCTATTCGTTAGAAAAATTCTTCTCTCCATTTTTTCACTTTTTTCCACAACACGTGCTCTCCACTTTTCGGTTTTCCCGCCAAAAACAGTCGCCGAAGAGGGTCCAACTTTCGTCTCCAACTTTCTCTGTTATAGCCTTCTTTCTGCATTCCTTAAAATAACGCAGAGGGGCCAAGATGTAACGAGACACTACACACACATTTCTAAACTCTAAACTGATCCATGGAACGTTTGAAAAGCATCCTTTCCCTATCGTTTATTTCAGAGATTTCAGGCCCGGCAAAGACGCAAAAGGCTCGGCCATCCTTCTACGACGAGGAGGATGAAACTGTTTTTGGTTCCGCAGAAATGGAGAAAATGGAGAACAAACCTCTGTCTGTGGACAACGCGATCAACGGGCACATGGGCTACCCATCGGTCGCTACTCCAGTGCCGACGGTGAGAATCGGTAAGAAGAGGCCAACGATCAGCGCGAGTTCCAACGCGGATCGTCGTCGAGCTACCGAACTTCTCGTCGTTCTTCTAACCTTGATCCTCACAGGTCACAGATGTCAGTGAACGAACGAACGAACGAACGAACGAACGAACGGACAAAAGGTTTGAGATAAATCTGTTATATCGTATATCGAGATTGCAACGATGTAAGAATGAATCGCGGCATATGGTGCGCTTTGTTTCTCGGTTAATTCGGCGCCGACGAAGTATCGTCTTCCCTGAGTGGCTTATTCTTAAATCGTAGTTTTAATGACGGGAGTAAGGAACGGTGAATTTCAACGAAACGGTGAAACCGGGGGTCGGGGTACGAGGAGGGTACGTATGCCGGGTGCAGTATTTAAGAAAACGAGATTTTTAAACGGGAGATTGCGAGGAATTTTATAGAGAAAGAAACGAGTTTCTGGTTGAAATCGTTTTGGCGAAAGTAACCGAGGGATTTCGCTAATGGCGCCAGTGTCGAGGAAGGAATGATTTTAAATTTAAAAGCGATACATCTATTTATAATAACAAATACTCTATTTCCTTTCTTTTTAATCTTCCTTTTAATGAAAAAATTTCAAAAGTAGAACGACAATTGTTTAAAATTCAACGTCTAATTTATGCGTTTCATTGAAGTTTCTCTGAGAACTGAATTGTACCTCGTTGGAAAAGGTAGCGTGAAATAGTGTAAAATTGTGTTGGAACACTTTAAACACCGGGACGTTGAATTGCTTGAATTACAGTTTTTAAGTCGAGGTCCGGAAATTATTTTGCGGATATTTCCAAACTTCTTGAAATACGTGTCTCTCGTAAGGATAGGTTCCTCGAGAAGCCAAGAAGTGATATTTCTTATTATAGGATGATGTATTGTTTGCTTTTACGTGACTGGTAGTTGACGAGCGGTCTACGAAGCCCGGTATTTTTACGTGACCAGCATCGTATACAATATTCTATAAATACGGATCTATTTGTGTTTTAAGATTGCTGCAGTACCTGTAACTAGCATTAATACCTAGTGTCTAATGTTTTAGTTAGCGATATATTTTCTCTCGAATATTTTTCACATCGAGAATGGAACAATTCGACAATTTCAGTCGCCCTCGTTACTTAGACTATCCGGCATTCTTTCGTACGAGTAGAGAAGAAGAAGAAACTTAAACGTAGAGTTGCCTCTGATTATTCACGATATAAATAAACACGAAACGTGGTCGAGTTCATAAATTACACACAGTTGCGACGGATCGAAGAAAAAGGAAGAGCAGATCTCTCGCGTAGCGTTGAAATTTGATTTCACGTCTGTGAAAGAACAGAGAAAAAAAAAGAAATAGATCGATGAAATATTGATAAACGCATTTCCAGCGTGTGCAGATACGTTGCTTGTATCGATCTAGAGTTTCC